ATATTTGATTTTTGAAAATTAAAACTTGAAATCTGATTTTGGAAAATAGATCTTGAAAAGTAGGAAATTTGGTAATTTGCACTTTTTTTAAAGCCAATTTTATTAGTAGAAATTTTTGTTACAGAGCATTTGGTCCACGTCTAGCTCTTAATGAAACAAAATAATAACTTAATTTTCAACAATTTGTTCTATATTTTGTTGTTTATTATAGACTTGTAAATTTTTAGCTCCTGTTTGGTTAATCAAAGTCAAAGTCAACAATTTATTTCAACTATATATTAAATGGCTTTCAGGATTTTTCAATCACACATTTAATCAAATTTTATTAAAATCTACTAAATATTTGATTTTAATTTCTACCAAACAGGACTTAATTTTCATCTATAAATATTTGTTATCAAATATATCATGATTTTACACCACAATTGGCTTCACTGTAAAGTATTAAATCATCATTGGTGGCAGCGTTCTCTACACTCCCAGCATGAGCGCGTTAGTGCCTCAAATTTTTCGAAGCAAAGTTGAACTTGAAATAGCACAGAATTTTCTTACAGTATCCAACGTGTGGTCGGAGAGACGACTGACTGTGACAAATTCAACCCATTTTTGCCGTCACCGTTAATCCTATTTCTCCCACTCACTATATATATACAAACATCTCGAACCCTTTTTAATTTCATTCTTTCGATTTCTATTCAAACACTCAAGTTTACATTTCCTCACGCAAGATAATCAAAGAACCAAAAACTTCAATTTTCAGCAGACCATTATCAGGTACTTCCATCTTCATCCCGGCTTTTGCTTGCTAATTCTTGCGAACTTGAATAAGTTGAAGTTTAGGCTTTAGGTTAAGTTGAATTGGATTATGTGCTTTTATTATTATTTTTTATAATTTCAATCGTTTCTTGTTGTGTTCGACGAATTATCGAGCTGGGGGCTCTTTCTTAAGATTTCTCTAGCTGTAAAAAAAAAGGTTTTTGTTTATCTCCTTTTGGGGCTTTAGATTACATAAGTTATTTAGATTTTCTGATAAGATGACTAGTTTGTCGATGTATGATGATGATGATTATTTTTTGTAATTTCTCATTATCTAAAAAGAATTTATATCAGGAAGTGCTTAGGATGGAAACTTACTATTTAGACAAAAACGAATAGAATTGATGACTGTCTTAATAGACTTCTATTCGATTTTAATGCCTGCTTCGACTGTTTTGCGAGTTTAATTCTGCATAGACTTTGTGCATGATACTCATACGCAGGGGATTACTTCAACTAATCTGTCATGACTGAAAGAAGTAAAGTTAATTTTCTTCAATCGCGTTGGTATTCATTGGGAATCAGAATTTACTTGTTGTAAGTTGGGTGAGAAAAGGTAGTTTTTAGTAATCTATGTGTTCCTGTTCTACAGGTTGATCTTCTTCCAGGTAATCTGGACATTGACGAACACTTCTACAAACTGTGAAAGTTAGGCCCAGAACTTTCAGTGCATAAAAGAGTGAAGACTAACCATTTAGGATGGACTCTCGTTTTTTTGGACATAGTGTCGCAGGTGGAGACTTGTCATACACTTCTTATCCTGTCGGTTCCTCAATACCTACTAGGCTGTTCGGATCAATGAAGTTTGATACACGAAACTCACCAAATTCACCTTTCTTTACCCACTTTGAGCCTGAGACATTAAGCACGTATATTGACAGTCAAGAGCAGCACAGTTCCACGGATAATCTTTCTGAAGTCACCCCTTCGTCTAATTCTTCACTGGATTACAACAGTTATTTCCAACAATTAAGCCCGTCCCCTGTGTACCCTCAGGATAATCTACTCCTTCGTTCTGGTGGACCTTCTTATATTCAGATTGCAAATCACAATCGAAACATGAAACATGCTCTGCAGGAGTTGGAGACTGCTCTTATGGCACCAGATTATGACGAGGAAGTGACAACCTCGGAGCCTTTGTTAGGGGGAAATAAGAGGCCCCAAACACCTGGCCAGCGGTCAAGATCTTGGAACCAGGAACCGCAGGGGTCGTCACATTCACATCAATCTGAGTCATCTTATGTTAACAGATTTGGCAACTCAGGTGATGAACTATATATTGAGAGACGGCAGAAAGCGATGGAGGATTTGACATTGAAGGGTACCCCACCAAATAATCTTAAACACTTGCTGATTGCATGTGCTAGAGCACTTTCTGATAACAATTTGGCTGGATTCGAGAGACTAGTAGAACAGGCTCGTGGTGCTGTATCTATTAATGGAGAGCCAATTCAGCGCCTAGGTGCTTACCTAATTGAAGGGCTGGTAGCAAGGAAAGAATCATCTGGCACCCACATTTACCGGGCCTTGAATTGCAAGGAACCAGAAAGCAAGGACTTGCTCTCCTACATGCATATTCTTTATGAAATATGTCCTTATTTAAAGTTCGGTTACATGGCTGCGAATGGTGCTATTGCGGAAGCATGTAGAAATGAGGATCGTATTCACATAATAGACTTTCAGATTGCCCAGGGAACTCAGTGGATGACTCTCTTACAGGCACTTGCAGCAAGACCTGGTGGTGCTCCACATGTGCGAATTACTGGGATTGATGATCCAGTTTCAAAATATGCTCGAGGAGCTTGTCTGGCTGCAGTTGGAAGACGTTTGGCTGCAATTTCAGAGAAATTCAACATAACTGTTGAGTTTCATGCTATTCCAGTTTTTGCTCCAGAAATCACAAGGGAAATGCTTGATGTTCGACACGGAGAAGCACTGGCTGTGAATTTTCCTTTGCAGCTCCACCACACTCCTGATGAGAGCGTTGATGTGACCAATCCAAGAGACGAACTTCTGAGGATGGTGAAATCACTCTCTCCCAAGGTGGTCACTCTGGTGGAGCAAGAATCAAACACAAATACTGCGCCTTTCGTTCCAAGGTTCATTGAAACTTTAGAATATTATTTGGCTATGTTCGAGTCGATAGATGTTACGTTGCCCAGAGACAAGAAGGAACGCATTAATGTGGAGCAGCACTGTTTGGCTAGAGATATTGTGAACATTATAGCCTGTGAAGGCAAGGAGAGAGTGGAACGTCACGAGCTCCTTGGCAAGTGGAGATTGAGGTTTATGATGGCTGGTTTTCAGCAATTTCCTCTGAGTTCTTATGTCAATTCGGTTATTCGAAGTTTATTAAGATCTTATTCAGAGCATTTTACGTTACTGGAAACGGATGGGGGCATGCTACTAGGGTGGAAGGAGAGGAACCTGGTATCCGCTTCTGCTTGGCACTGAAATAAAAATGCACTCACAGAGGTGTAATTGTAGAAATACCTAGTTGATGACACTGACTCATGTTTTAGAGTTTTGAAAACACTTTGTATCGGCCATAAGATAAACTTCATCATGTACTGTGTTTTAGTTTTCAATCTTGATAGTAGAAATATATGTTAATTTATGTTTTTTTGTAAACTGCAGCAGTTTATCTTCTCTTAAACAAGTAATGCGGACCAATTAAGATAAAAGCTGAGAATATTTGGCATCATCGATGATAATTTCCACTATTATTGGGATAATTTGGCCTAGCACTGTAGGTGGGCCACATAAAGGAAAACCTGATTGTTCTAAAAATATTATAATACCACCGCATCCAGAGGTCTTTTATACCCCTCTGCTGTTCTCTCTCGTCATCACACCGGCTAAAGGGTTTCTTTGTTTCCGAACATTTTTCATATTTCACACGCATAAATTATACACGCCTAATCATAGAGGGTTTAGGGTTTCAAAAGTTGGGACATCGATTTTTGGATCCGCTGTTCTATGATTGTTGGCGAGGAGGGCTGAGGCTGCGTCATTATTCGGGTTTAAAAGCTGAAAATTCAGAGGAGGGGTGTTAAGTGTTGGAAAAAATGGCATATATATGGGCTGATTTTAGCATAATTTCGAGTGAGAGCCGTTCGTTCATTTTGAAAGATCAAAATTGATTCGTGTTAGCCTCCATGAGAATATCGAGATCATATATTTACTTGGTAAAAATAATAATCGGATGAATGAGAAATTGGAATTCAAAATGGACCATTGAAAGATGTTTATGTGTCGAGGGGAAAAAAAGGTTTGTCTCGTATAGGAAAATGATTAAGGCAATTACTAGTTTATATATGACTACACTTTGAAATGATGTAATCATGTGTAGCATAGAAACTTTTCACGTGCGACCGCAGATGGTGCAAATCACGAATTGAATTAACACTTCGGACTTTGAACATGAATATAACTTGATTTTTCGTCTGCCAAATTCCCAGAAATATCTTTTTTCTGCATAAGATTTTCAGCCTCCCGTCTGCAAATATTTGCACTTTCTATCGAAGCTTTGATGGTTGTGTTTTAATATAATTCAGTTTGTCAGAGTAGCAGCTGAAATACTCAAACTCTACTGGTTTTCAATTGAAGTATTCATACTCTACTGATCGTGTTCTAATATAATTCAGTTCGTTGAAGTAGCAAAGTCTACTTGCTTGTAGTTCAGGTCGCTTTGATTTACTTCTAGCTGCGTCCTCCTCATCTGCAAAATATAATTTACATTGACATAGAGGACATTGTGGGTTTTGCACTATGAAGAGAGTTCTACTCTATATGCAATCTTTCAATTTAATTCATGACGGGTAATGACTCGATATATTTAGGCACCATTCAAGAATCTTCCTATCTTGTTTATAACCATGACACCTTAGATTTGTTGAATTCCTGGGCGACTCGAGGGTTTGGGCGAGAACGAGATCATTGCTCTGGGCGATCGTAAGACACTCCATACGCTCAGATTCTTGGTATCTTGCAAGTTTGAGCGATGATGTTACTTTGTTCGTGGGCCTCCACTTCATTCACTAATGGTCATATTTAGGCTTTCGTCCTGGATTTCTCAATTGGGCTTCATGCCTTTGACTATTCAATTTGGGTAGGGATGGCAAAAAAACCCGACAAACCCGATACCCGCGGGGACCCGCCCCGAATGGGGTGAGGAAAACCCGCTTAACCGGGTAACGGGATGGTGCTTTAAGTTTCAATTAAAACATAAAAGTCCTAAAACTACATTCAGTGACCATTTCTGTAACCGCGTGAAAGTTGAGTGACCGTTTGTGCAAGTTTTAAATTTCAGTGACCGTTTTGTTATTTTCATGTTACTTCAATGACCATTTGTGAAATTAACCCATTATTATTGGGATAATTTGGCCTAGCACTGTAGGTGGGCCACATAAAGGAAAACCTGATTGTTCTAAAAATATTATAATACCATCGCATCCATAGGTCTTTTATACCCCTCTGCTGTTCTCTCTCGTCATCACACCTGCTAAAGGGTTCCTTTGTTTCCGAACATTTTTCATATTTCACACGCATAAATTATACACGCTTAATAATAGAGGGTTTAGGGTTTCAAAAGTTGGGACATCGATTTTTGGATCCGCTGTTCTATGATTGTTGGCGAGGAGGGCTGAGGCTGCGTCATTATTCGGGTTTAAAAGCTGAAAATTTAGAGGAAGGGTGTTTTAAGTGTTGGAAAAAATGGCATATATATGGGCTGATTTTAGCATAATTTCGAGTGAGATCCGTTCGTTCATTTTGAAAGATCAAAATTGATTCGTGTTATCCTCTATGAGAATATCGAGATCATATATTTACTTGCTAAAAATAATAATCGGATGAATGAGAAATTGGAATTCAAAATGGACTATTGAAAGATGTTTATGTGTCAGAGAGGAAAAAAAAGGTTTGTCTCGTATAGGAAAATGATGAAGGCAATTACTAGTTTATATGTGACTACACTTTGAAATGATGTAATCATGTGTAGCATAGAGACTTTTCACGTGCGACCGCAGATGGTGCAAATCACGAATTGAATTAACACTTCGGACTTTGAACATAAATATAACTTGATTTTTCCTCTACCAAATGCCCACAAATTTCCTTTTTTTTTTCTGCATAAGATTTTCAGCCTCCCGTCTGCAAATACTTGCACTTTCTATCGAAGCTTTGATGGTTGTCTTCTAATATAATTTAGTTTGTTAGAGTAGCAGCTGAAATACTCAAACCCTACTGGTTTTCAATTGAAGTATTCATACTCTACTGATCGTGTTCTAATATAATTCAGTTCATCGAAGTAGCAAACTCTACTTGGTTGTAGTTCAGGTCGCTTTGATTTACTTCTAGCCGCGTCCTCCTCATCTGCAAAATATAATTTACATTGACATAGAGGACATTGTGGGTTTTGCACTATGAAGAGAGTTCTACTCTATATGCAATCTTTCAATCTAATTCATGACGGGTAATGACTCGATATATTTAGGCACCATTCAAGAATCTTCCTCTCTTGTTTATAACCATGACACCTTAGATTCGTTCAATTCCTGGACGACTCGAGGGTTTGGGCGAGAACGGGATCATTGCTCTGGGCGACTGTAAGGCACTCCATTCGCTCAGATTCTTGGTATCTTGCAAGATTGGGCGATAATGTTACTTTGTTCGTGGGCCTCCACTTCATTCACTAATGGTCCTATTTAGGCTTTCGTCCTGGATTTCTCAATTGAGTTTCATTTCTTTGACTATTCAATTTGGGCTACACTTTTTGTATGTTAACAATTACCCCCCAATATGACAGAATTAATACCAATTATTAATCTTTACCATATTCTTTTTTTTGTATTTTTCGACAATACTTGAAATTCTCAAGAATTTCAATCATTTTTTCCGTTTGGTGGTAACCTTTTTATAACCTAAAAGGTGCAACGTTACAAACCCCTATAAACCCCAGATACATGCCACTTCATCGCGCCGTTACCTTTACGTCTTCACACCGTCCTATTGACTATTGTTCAGCCGATATATACACTTTCATTGGCCGTCCTTGAATTGGTGACACCAATATTGGTGGACTCGATAGATACGTCTTTAGGCTTTCAAAAGCCTTTTGATACTCTTCTTTCCAGACGAATTCATCCTGACTTTTTCAGTTTTAAACGAGGCGAAAAAGCTTTAGTTCACCCTCTTGATTGAGCATCTGGCTGACAGATGCTGGGCAATCTTCCCCTTCATTACCAATATTCACTTTGATTAGAGGGCTTGTGATTGAGCATATCCAAGCTTAGTGATCCTCATTACTTCGTCGTCCAGGTTCCTTATAGACATTTTCTCTTCTAAACAATCCAACTCGTTGACTTCTCGACCAATATTCTGTTCCAACTCGAATACTGGCAATTTGTTTCCCAACTCTTTTAATGCTGCTTCTTCTTTTGTTTTGTCTTTACATTCTTTATTGAAAGCCATTAACTTGGCCTTGAAGGCTTGAATGTCGACTATTTGCCCTTGTTGTTGACAACTCATTTAAAGTTCTTTGACTAGCTTTTTGCCAATCATTGGCTCTTCAAGCGTCACTATGTTTGGCCTTATTTGACTAAACATTTCAGTGAGTATATCCACTGAAAACGGCTCTTCGCTCTATGCAACAATTTGAGTCTCTTTTCCATCTTGGACTACCCTAACAGGTCCATAATTTCCTTCGTACATGAACATTTCCACCGATTTTTCTTTTGCCACAAAGGGTCTATGATCTGTCTGCACCACTTCCGCTTCGCCCTTGTCGTTCCAGAAGACTAAACACTGGTGAGTGATGAAGGTATGCAGCGATCCCATAGATCCAGTCCCTTCCTAGTAACACATTATAAGTAGTAGGACCATCTATTACAAAAAAGACTGTGGTCCTAGTGGTTGTCCTTACAGTTATGTCCAGTGGCACAACTCCTTTAGCCGATGTTGCTCCTCCATTGAAACTTGTGAGGATGAATTCTGTTGGAATCATATCACTTTCTGTCTTTGCAAATTTCCTCATCATTCTGGATGGGATGATGTTTATAGCTGCTCCATTATCAATGAGTACTTTCGCCACAGGTATACCATTGACCAAGGCATTCACATAGAATAGCCTCAAGTGCTTAGTCAATTTCATAGCTGGTCTCTTAAAAATAACTTTTTCAGCAGCATCTATTTCCACTTCCTGTTTGTCCTTTTGTTGAATTATCATTTTGTGATAAGTCAATGTGTAATATTTCACGCTGAATTGCTTCTTTTTGGGTTATCTCATTACTTCCCTCCAAAGCCTCTTCTTCATTTTCTCATCATGTGGGATGAGCTAATATTCTTGGAGGTGACCCATACTTTTCAGGGCGTGGTACTCCCATTTTTCTTTTGGGTGTCCCGTACAACACATAATAATCGAAAGAACGCCCAGACGGTTCTCCCAACAATTC